TTGAGTCTATGGCAGTGTAATCTATGGGCAGTGTTAGTCTATTGGGCAGGTTGAGTCTATTGGGCATTGTATTCTATGGGCAGCGGTAAGTCTATGTGCAGTGTTAGTTCTACGGGACAGTGTTAGTCTGCGGGCAGGTTAGTCATTGTGAAGTGTAGTCTATGGGCAGTGTTGAGTCTTATGGGCAGTGTTAATATATGGGCAGTGTAGTCTATGGGCCAGTGTTAGTCTACGGGCAAAGGTTAGTCTGAGGGCAGTGTTAGTCCTTGGGCAGGTAGTCTATGGGCAGTGTCGAGTCTACGTGCAGGTAGTCTAAGAGGCAGAGTGTTAGTCTATGTGCAGTGTTGAGTCTACGGGCAGCTGTTTAGTCTCTGTGCAGCGTTTGAGTCTATGGGTAGTGTTGAGTCTACGGGCAGCGTTGAGTCTACGGGCAGTGTTGAGTCTATGTGCAGTGTTGAGTCTACGGGCAGTGTTAGTCTACGGGCAGCGTTGAGTCTACGGGCAGCGTTGAGTCTATGGGCAGTGTTGAGTCTACGGGCAGTGTTAGTCTACGGGCAGCGTTGAGTCTATGGGCAGTGTTGAGTCTATGTGCAGTGTTAGTCTACGGGCAGCGTTGAGTCTACGGGCAGTGTTGAGTCTATGGGCAGTGTTGAGTCTATGGGCAGTGTTGAGTCTATGTGCAGTGTTGAGTCTACGGGCAGTGTTGAGTCTATGGGCAGTGTTGAGTCTATGGGCAGTGTTGAGTCTATGGGCAGTGTTGAGTCTATGGGCAGTGTTAGTCTACAGGCAGTGTTAGTCTATGGGCAGTGTTAGTCTACGGGCAGTGTTAGTCTATGGGCAGTGTTAGTCTACGGGCAGTGTTAGTCTATGGGCAGTGTTGAGTCTATGGGCAGTGTTGAGTCTATGGGCAGTGTTGAGTCTATGGGCAGTGTTGAGTCTATGGGCAGTGTTAGTCTATGGGCAGTGTTGAGTCTATGGGCAGTGTTGAGTTTATGGGCAGTGTTAGTCTATGGGCAGTGTTGAGTCTATGGGCAGTGTTGAGTTTATGGGCAGTGTTAGTCTATGGGCAGTGTTGAGTTTATGGGTAGTGTTGAGTTTATGGGTAGTGTTAGTCTATGGGCAGTGTTGAGTTTATGGGCAGTGTTAGTCTATGGGCAGTGTTGAGTCTATGGGTAGTGTTGAGTTTATGGGCAGTGTTAGTCTATGGGCAGTGTTGAGTCTATGGGCAGTGTTAGTCTACGGGCAGTGTTAGTCTATGGGCAGTGTTGAGTTTATGGGCAGTGTTAGTCTATGGGCAGTGTTGAGTCTACGGGCAGTGTTGAGTCTATGGGCAGTGTTAGTCTATGGGCAGTGTTGAGTCTATGGGCAGTGTTGAGTCTATGGGCAGTGTTAGTCTATGGGCAGTGTTGAGTCTATGGGCAGTGTTAGTCTATGGGCAGCGTTAAGTCTACGTGCAGTGTTAGTCTATGGGCAGTGTTATTCTACGGGCAGTGTTAGTCTATGGGCAGTGTTATTCTACGGGCAGTGTTAGTCTACGGGCAGCGTTTAGTCTACAGGCAGCGTTAGTCTACGGGCAGTGTTAGTCTATGGGCAGTGTTGAGTCTATGGGCAGTGTTGAGTCTATGGGCAGCGTTAGTCTACGGGCAGTGTTAGTCTATGGGCAGTGTTGAGTCTATGGGCAGCGTTAGTCTATGGGCAGTCTTAGTCTATGGGCAGTGTTAGTCTACGTGCAGTGTGTATGTATGTTGAACTTCTTGTGCACTGCACGTAGCCAACCGGTGCGTCAGGCATCCGCATTTGCCACGGTTCGTCGTCCGGACGACGTAAACGTGCGCGCACGTCGTCGGAGTGGGTAAAACGACGGCACGGCGAACGACTGTCAGCCCGCCGCGTCGCTCCGCCCCCCTCGCCCCGCAGGCCCCAAGGGCGTGCTGGCGGACTGGCGCCGCTACAAGCAGCTGGAGGCGGAGGGGCGCGAGGGGGCGCGGCGCGAGCGCGAGCACCTCCACCGCTCCCTCGCCTTCACCTGCCAGTCGTACGGCGACGAGCAGCGCGAGCGCGAGCACCAGCTGCAGGAGCGCATCGCCAAGAAGGTGAGAGGGCGCCGGCGGCGGCGACGACGACGACGCAAAACCTCGTGTTGAAAGGGTAGTGCCATGTGTGTGTGTGCGTCTGTGTGTATGTCTGTGTGTGTGTATATGTACGTGTGTATATGTGTCTGTGTTTATATTTGTGTCTGTGTGTGTCTGTGTGTGTGTCTGTATGATGTGTACGTGGGGAGCGGTAGTGTAGCGGTTCGAGCGCTGCGCTCGTGGCCAACACCGGTGACGATTATCTGAACCGGTCCTGGGCCTCCCCTGGGTCGTCTCACCCTTAACTAAGTACCTGGTGCAGTGTGCAAACATTTCCATCAGGGAGACAAAGGCGGCCGGGCGTGGTGTTGGCCACCCACTGGCCTTCATAGGTGCTCGCTCACAGCACTTGTCCCATCAGTCTGTTAAGGCTATACGGGGGATCTTTATCTTTTGTGTGTGGAGGTGGGGAGCGGTGGTAGCGGTTAGCGCTACGCTGCGCTATGAACCCGGCGACCCGGTTTCGATACCCGCTCACGGCTAACACCGGTGATGATTATCTGAACCGGTCCTGGGCCTCGCCTAGGTCGACTCGGCCTCAAATGAGTACCTGGTGCGGTGTGTAAACATCGCCACCGGGGAGACAAAGGCAGTCGGGCGTGGTGCTGGCCACCCACCCACTCGTGTACCGTTCCGGCCTTCATAGGTGCTCGCTAACAGCACTTGCCCCTGCAGTCTGTTGAGGCTAAAAAGGGGGACCCTTTTGTCTTTGTGTGTTGAACGTCTTTAGCACCGCGCATAGCCAATCGCACCAATTGGCGGTGCGGGGGGATGGACAACAAACTAAACACAAAACACTTTGAAGTTAATTAGTTTGTCAATCGAGACCAGGGCTGGGGAACCTTTTTTCTGCCAGGGGCCATTGGGATATTTAAATAACATCACTCGCGGGCCATACAAAATAATCAACTTAAAAATTAGCCCATTAAATTTGGTCAAACATTTAATGAACTCACCCCTAATGATCAACTTCAAAATTACCCTCTTATATTTGGTCAAACATTTAATGAACTCACCCCTAATGCGACGGCTGGAACTGCTTCTCTTTAGCGAGGCGTGTGGTGATGCTAGCTGGCATTGATGATGATGTTGCTGCTACTCGCAACTGCTTTTCCACTCATGTATAGTAGTAGTAGCCACAAACTCTACACTACCTCTAAGACCCATTTGGATATTTATAACATCATTCACGGACCATACAAAATTATAATCAACTTAAAAATTAGCCCGTTATATTTGGTCAAACATTTAATGAACTCACCCCTAATGCGATGGGCTGGAACTGCTTCTCTTTAGCGAGGCGCGTGTGATGTTAGCTGGTGTTGATGATGATGCTGCTACTCGCAACTGCTTTTCCAGGTTTGCTCCTAGATTTATTAAATTTCGAGTCCCGCCTGCGGTTGCCTTGGCAGGGCCACACCAAATGATTTTGCGGGCCTCATACGGCCCACGGGCCGGACGTTCTCCACCCCTGATCTAGATGATGATGATGTAAAAGTGCATAGCTCCAGTGGCTTCCTAATATCGGAAGGAAGAGCGTTCCAGACGGCGAGGTAGTTCACATCTCCTCGCCCGCCGTCCTCGTGATAAGGCGTTGCCTGAAGAGAACATCCATGTGGACATGTTAACACCGCTGTGCGTGTAAATAAATAAATACATTATAACTCAAAACTTGTTATTTTACCAGGTAAGAGAGAGAAGCAAACTCCAAATATACAGCAGCAGGTGTCAGGATCGGGATCGAACACACGACCTCCTGTACACCAGGGGAGGTAGTCAACATCTCGGCACCGCTGCACCCACACGTGCGTGCCCGTACCTCCTCCCCCCCTCCCCAGCTGACCCTGAAAGACGACGACGATGACGTCGACGCGGACGACGCCGACGACGCGGCCTTCCTGAGCGAGTACCGCGAGCGGCGCATGGCCGAGCTGCGCCGGCGCCTCTCGTCGGGCCCCCGCTACGGCGCCGTGACGGAGCTGCCGGGCGGCGAGGCGCTGCTCCGCGCCGTCGACGAGTCTCCCCCCCGCACGCCGGTGCTGGTGCACGTGTACGACGACGCCGTGCCCGCCTGCGCCGCCCTCGACGGCTGCCTCGGCTGCCTGGCGCCGCGCTACCCGTCGGCGCGCGTGTGCCGCGTGCGCGCCGCCGCCGTGGCGGGCCTGAGCGCGGCGTTTGCGAGCCGCGCGCTGCCGGCGCTGCTGGTGTACCGCGGCGGCGAGCTGGTGGGCAACTTCGTGCGCCTCTCGGACCAGCTGGGCGACGACTTCTTCGCCGACGACCTCGAGAGCTTCCTGGGCGAGCACGGCCTCCTGCCCGAGAGGGACGGCGCCGGCGTCGGGGGGGGCGGGGGTGGGGGGGGATCGGACGGCTCGGCCTGCCGGCGCTCCGTCGCGGGGCCCGCCACCACCGCCGCCGCCGCCGTCGCGGCCGCTTCCAGCGACGACAGCGACCTGGACATAGACTAGCGGAGGCCGTGGTGTGGCCGATTCGTCGCGCGGTGTGTCGTGTCCGCACGGGGGTCGTGTGTCTGCGCGCGCGAGTTCCCGTTGCGTCATCGCGGTCCCTGCCGGTCGCGCCCCCTCCCCCTCCGAAGTCTCCGCGACCCGAAGGTCACCCGGCCGCCGTCGCCTCGCGGCCCGGCATCCCCGGTGTCGGTGCGACGCTCGATGGGTGTGGAGTCTGGTAATCGCCACCATCGTCCGGAGATGTTTATAGTCGCGCGCGATCGCCGTGACGACACTCTGTACCACTTCCACCCTCACCCCCCCACTGCACCGTCCATCCCCTCCCCCCCTCCTCCTCCCCCCCCCCTCCTCCTCCCCCCCCCCCTCCTCCTCCTCTCACTTCACCCGCTGGCTGGACGTGAGATCGTTGAAGCGTCGATCAGCTGGCCCAGACCCTGGTGACCGCACGCTGGAACGTGGGGTGGCATGGGGAGGTGGCATGCAGTGCTGCAGAGCGATGTGACTGGCGAGATGTGAACTACCTTGCCTGGTGTGCAGGAGGTCGTGGGTTTAATCCCGACCCTTATGACCCCTGTGCATACGGAGTTTGCATGATCTCCCCGTGGGTCGCGTGGATTTTTTCTCCGGGTCCTGGAGACTACTTTCATTTTGCCAGGTCAGGCCCACTGAGCTATGAAGCTCTTTTCAAAAGCGACCTGGCCACAATTGATAGCTTAACGAAGTGGCTGATAATCACGTGGAAATTTATTGGCGCAGCCAAATACCATTAAGACACGTTGAATGTGGAGGGAACAACCGGAGAAAAAAGTCCACAGGGAGAGAGAGAGAGAGATAGACACGCAGACTCCAAATATACAGCAGCAGGTGTCAGGGTCGAAATCGAACCCACGACCTCCTGCGCACCAGGCGAGGTAGTTAACATCTCCTAGCCACCGTGATGATGATGATGATGAGAGAGAGACACACAAACTCCAAATATACAGCAGCAGGCGTCAGGGTCGAGATTGAACCCACGACCTCCTGCACACCAGGCGAGGTAGTTAACATCTGCTAGCCACCGTGATGATGAGAGAGAGACACGCAAAATCCAAATATACAGCAGCAGGTGTCAGGGTTGAGATCGAACCCACGACCTCCTCCACACCAGGCGAGGTAGTCAACATCTCCTAGCCACCGTGATGATGAGAGAGAGAGAGAGACACGCAAACTCCAAATATACAGCAGCAGGCGTCAGGGTCGAGATTGAACCCACGACCTCCTGCACACCAGGCGAGGTAGTTAACATCTGCTAGCCACCGTGATGATGAGAGAGAGACACGCAAAATCCAAATATACAGCAGCAGGTGTCAGGGTTGAGATCGAACCCACGACCTCCTGCACACCAGGCGAGGTAGTTAACATCTCCTAGCCACCGTGATGATGAGAGAGAGACACGCAAAATCCAAATATACAGCAGCAGGTGTCAGGGTTGAGATCGAACCCACGACCTCCTGTATACCAGGCGAGGTAGTTAACATCTCCTAGCCACTGTGATGATGAGAGAGAGAGAGACACACAAACTCCAAATATACAGCAGCAGGCGTCAGGGTCGAGATCGAACCCACGACCTCCTGTATACCAGGCGAGGTAGTTAACATCTAGCCACCGTGATGATGATGAGAGAGAGAGACACGCAGACTCCAAATATACAGCAGCAGGTGTCAGGGTCGAAATCGAACCCACGACCTCCTGTGCACCAGGCGAGGTAGTTAACATATCCTAGCCACCGTGATGATGATGATGATGACAGAGAGACACACAAACTCCAAATATACAGCAGCAGGCGTCAGGGTCGAGATTGAACCCACGACCTCCTGCACACCAGGCGAGGTAGTTAACATCTGCTAGCCACCGTGATGATGAGAGAGAGACACGCAAAATCCAAATATACAGCAGCAGGTGTCAGGGTTGAGATCGAACCCACGACCTCCTGCACACCAGGCGAGGTAGTCAACATCTCCTCGCCACCGTGATGATGAGAGAGAGAGAGAGAGACACGCAAACTCCAAATATACAGCAGCAGGCGTCAGAGTCGAGATAGAACCCACGACCTCCTGAATACCAGGCGAGGTAGTTAACATCTCCTAGCCACTGTGATGATGAGAGAGAGAGACACACAAACTCCAAATATACAGCAGCAGGCGTCAGGGTCGAGATCGAACCCACGACCTCCTGTATACCAGGCGAGGTAGTTAACATCTAGCCACCGTGATGATGATGAGAGAGAGAGACACGCAAACTCCAAATATACAGAAGCAGGCGTCAGGGTCGAGATCGAACCCACGACCTCCTGTATACCAGGCGAGGTAGTTAACATCTAGCCACCGTGATGATGATGAGAGAGAGAGAGACACGCAAACTCCAAATATACAGAAGCAGGCGTCAGGGTCGAGATCGAACCCACGACCTCCTGTATACCAGGCGAGGTAGTTAACATTTCCTAGCCACCGTGATGATTATGAGAGAGAGATGCGCAAACTCCAAATATACAGCAGGTATCAGGGTCGGGGTTGAACCCACGACCTCCTGTGTACCAGGCGAGGGAGTTAACACCTCTGTGTAGTGCAGCCTAATTTGTTACACCAGGCAAGGGATCTTTTGAGACCACCGCCACTTATCCCGTCGAACGTGGGAGAGGCTTCAAACTAATTTCGTATTTAGCCGGGGAGTTTGAGATCGCCCACGTGCCTATACTCACGTGAAGGTGGGCGGGCCACGGGACGGCTGGAGGAGTGGCTCAGTGGCAGAGGTCGCAGACGGGTTTTGATTCATCTTCTTGGTTCTTTCGGTAAAGTCACGTAGAAGGGAAGTAATAAAATAATAAAAATAAAACATAATAAAATAATTCTCACGACGTTTCGGCCACAACGCAAGCAGCCGTTTGCTTGCGTTGTGGCCGAAACGTCGTGAGAATTATGTTATGTTCTATTATTTTATTACTTCCCTTCTACGTGACTTTACCGAAAGAACCAAGAAGATGAATCCCTGCAGTCACGAAAGCTTTAAATCGGGTTTTGATTCCTTACCCGTACCCGGCCGCACCAGGGTCGCAAATGGGTACCCGTACCCTACCCGATCCCCGGCTACCTGTACCCGGCCACCCGTACCCGGCCGGGTAAGGGTAGAGTACGAGTATCGGGTACCTGATTGCGACCTCTGGGATGAAACCATGTTACAGGCGCGGGTGGGTTGATTCTAGGAACTTGAATTGTGAGAAGAGACAAGACGTTGGGAAATGAGTAACAAACGGTTACTCAACAGTGACTCACGGTCTACCCGTACATGGCCTACTCGTACCCGTACCCGGCTAGGTACGGGTAGCCGGGTACGGGTAGCCGGGTATCGGGTAGGGTACGGGTATCGGGTACCCGGTTGCAACTTCTGCTCAGTGGTGAATGATCCGACACGCTGCTGGAGAGTGATCAAAGCGGGTGGTAATCGTGTTACCGAGCGGTCCGTGGTTTTGAGACTGGCAAAGCCTCATCGATTATCAAGGCTCTCTTTCAAGAGGGTCATGACAAATTTTCGGGGGGGGGGGGAGGGCGGTGAGGTGTGGCGATGTTGCTATATACGTGATCCCGGTTTGGTGATTCGAAGGTAATTCTTAAGCATTGCGATGCTTTGGCCAATACCTGTCACACTGTCTCTTTTAGCATGTGGGAGAGAACCAGTAAACCCAGGGAGAGAAACACAATTTATTATGGAGAACAGGGGGAGATCGTATAAATTACACACAATTACACAGAGGCTAACGATCCCCGTGTACCCGGTAACAGACTGTTGAGGCTGCCTTTGTCTCCCTCGTAGCGATGTTCACGTCGCACCAGCTTCTCGTTTTGATGCCGAGTCGACCTAGAGGAGGCTCAGGACTGGTCCTGGTGTCGGCCGTGAGCGGCAAATGAAACTCGTGTCGGCCGCGTTCTCATCGCGCGGCGCGCTTACCGCTGTGCTTACACTCCCCACTCTACAGAATAACACGGGGAGATGATACAACAACAACCACCATTCGCCACTAAGTGGCGGTGACGTCACCACCTCAATTGTGCCAGGCTATGTGCATGTTGAGGCCACGTGAAGTGTCGAACGCCCGCTGGCAGGAGGTCACGGTGAAGACCCAGGTGCCATGGGTTGACTGAGATGAGTGGCCAATGCCACCACCTGTGCCCCCTACTGTGCCCCCTACTGTCCCAACTTGCTGCGCTTTAGCCATCCGGTGCTCCGCTCGTTGTGAGCGTCGCTTCTCCGCCCTCCGTTGTTGTTGGAGGGCGACTGCCTCCAACTGCCCAGTAGCTTCTTCACGAGCCTCCTCCACAGAGGCCAATCTTGACACCGCTGGTACCGGTCATCGGCAAGTCCACTCAGCTCCACGTCCTCCTGTACCACATCACTCCATCTCTTCTCCAGCCCGTGCCGCGCCCGTTTAGCCTCCTCGATCCGGCCGAGATGATACAACCTCCACACACGCAGGCACAGCCACAGGTACCCGAGTGGGAACTCGAACCCAGGCGCTTCCTGCTGTGTCGCTCCGGTGTTACCGCGGCGCCGCCTTGCGGAGCTTTCTTGCGACCGTCCGTTTGAGGCGTCGTCGTGAGCCGTGACGTCCGTGCAATTGGGGGTAGGTGTCTGGCACGTTTTGTGGGGAGCGGTGGCGCTGCGGTTAGCTACGCCGCTGCTTTGCTACGAACCCGGCTGCGATCCGAGTTCGATTCCCGCTCGCGGCCACCGACGCCGCCGGTGATGATTATCTGAACCGTTCGTGGGCCTCAATTGAGTACCTGGTTCTAGATCTGAAGCTTTCGTGACTGCAAGGATTCATACTCTTAGTTCTTTTGGTAAAGTCACGTAGGTAAAAAATGAAATAAAAATTAATAAAAATAAAAACAATAATTAATTTCATTTTTTACCTACGTAACTTTACCGAAAGAACTGAGTACCTGGTGCGGTGTGTATAACACAAAAAAAACATCGCCACTGGGGAGACAAAGGCCGTCGTGCGTGGTGCTGGCCACCCACACCCCTCGTGTGTCGTGCCGGCCTTCATAGGTGCTGCTGCTGCTCACTAACAGCACTTGCCCCAACAGCCAGTTAAGGCTACACGGGGATCTGTGTCTTTGTGTGTAGGTGCTCGCTAACAGCACTTGCCCCAACAGTCTGTTAAGGCTACACGGGGGATCTGTGTCTTTGTGTGTAGGTGCTCGCTAACAGCACTTGCCCCAACAGTCTGTTATGGCTACACGGGGGATCTGTGTCTTTGTGTGTAGGTGCTCGCTAACAGCACTTGCCCCAACAGTCTGTTAAGGCTACACGGGGGATCTGTGTCTTTGTGTGTAGGTGCTCGCTAACAGCACTTGCCCCAACAGTCTGTTATGGCTACACGGGGGATCTGTGTCTTTGTGTGTAGGTGCTCGCTAACAGCACTTGCCCCAACAGTCTGTTAAGGCTACACGGGGGATCTGTGTCTGT